TTGTGGGAATACAAAATTTCCAAGGTCATAGTATCTGTTGAACGAGGATGTGTGCTTCAAGTTGTGCTTTTCGAGGGATTCTCAAAATACTACCAAAATGCTTAAGCAGTTTAGTTCGGTAACATTTGTAGTCATATTGCTTAATGCAGCCCCCTTCTGGACAATTCTCGCTAAGTCTTGATTGTGACTCAACCAAGTTAGGCGAGTCACCATGCATCAATTCCGATGAGAGTGGCACTGCAAAATTATCATTTTCGATTAACCTTAATACTGAGGAATTTGGAATTACGCGATTACTAAACAATCCTATAATTGGTATAGATTACCATTGTCACATTTATTCTCGTAGTGTCCCTAAATCAGGCATTCAAAGTAGGTGGACGTCGGAAGGAAAAGGTCAAGACTATTGGTGCCTGCACTATTGATTCCTTCCAAGAAATTTGGGGTAACAAAAATGGTGTCATGTTACTTTACAAGACAGTCTTCAGAATTATTCCATTTTGCATACTGTAACCCTCGACGGATCAGAGGCAAATGAACATAAAGAAGTAAGCGACTTAATGCATCTAAAATGGCAGCTGGAATATTTAGTAGTCTTTGAGCCTAGTTTTTATGGACATAATGAATCATTCAAATGGCTGAAGATTACTGTTGGCGATTTATTTGTTTTACCCGAGGATGCAGTCAACAACAACCAATTCGTCGCCACATTCAGAAATCATGTCTCGGTAAAATTTTTATTTGAATAATAAACCAGAGTGATAATAAACCCATTATATGTTCTAAATCAGTTGTCCTCAAACAAAACGGTTTTTTAAATCGCAAAAATCGGAAGTGGGCAACGTTGCAGGATCTAGAGGACACATTGGAATATTTGCCCAACAAGTTGGATGTTCCCTTAACATTCACGTTTTAGAGAATCAGAAGAAACGCCGAATTCAAATTACATTAGCAACAACGAGGAATTAAAAATTTTATCTAGGTGTCAAAATTTCGTTAGATGGAATCAGGAGTGGCGTCAACTGCTCAGATCCGAAGACACTTTGCGGTATATGCCTTCCTTTTTAATATGTAGAAAAAGATTAAAAGAAAGGCTTTCATTATGTCCTTACCTTCCGGTTGAAATTGTTGGCTGTTCTTTACAAGGCAAATCGTGGGTATGCTTGCGTGTTTATTAATTAGACTTAGTCTGTAGAAAACACGGCAAATATGCATGGTGTTGCTCTCGTTGACATATCGCAGTTGCTTTGTCCTGGAGGTTTCTGTCTTTGCATAACGTCAACCCCTCTTTTTTAGTTACCTGTGTTAAAAGTCAATGCAAAGTGAAGCATTTTGATCCAGGATTGCTGGATGCCAAGGTTATTTGTCATACAAGTGATTTACAAAGATATAAACCGCGGTTTAGAATGTGCAGTGAGACTGAAAATGACACATTTGCTTGAGGTTTCGTTTTTTTCAATTTTGCTTAATCCTATTTTGTTTAAAAGCTACCATATACCACTGCTCCTATGGTCTATCGGTAATAATATTTTCGTGGTCCCTTAAATTTCTGAACATATTTTGATTCCCTGGGTAACATATTTATTAAATCTCTCGTATTGCCTTCACATTACACAAGTGAGACAGCTATATTTCACAGTTGCTTTCCAGCAACGGATGATTATGCTCACAATGCTGATTTCCACTTGTTTTGGTTAGAAATTTGCAGATATTATGCTTTTCTGTGTGTCCGACTAATAAAACATTCATTTATTGATGCGAAAACAAATTAATCATGCACTGGCGTAAGGACGCAGTTATGTCGTCACATCACTCTTCTATTATTTGCTGCTACATAAATGTGACAATTTATTCACAAATGGCTTTTTTACTAACCGCACTTGACTCAAAATCACGTGACATTCAGGTGATTTGTACCACTAAAGGAAGTGTCTACAGTACATTCTGAATTAAAATATTGTCGACGTCTTTTATAATAGAGCAGATTTGCTAAATTATTATTAGCATGATAAACTAATTGACTTATTTAACATTTCTTTAAGAGAATCAAGGAGCCATCGCTTGTACCGGATGCAATCGAGATATTAAGCAACCTAAATGCGCATGCGACTGCTAGGAGAACTTCAAAAAGCAAATCAACTTTGGTCAGTCGACTCTCCTCAACGCTATACACAGTCACGTGCACTCTTCAGCCTGATTGGGCAGTCTATTTACTTTGCAGAGTTCTGAACGCACTGAAGTTGGCAGAAACGAGAGCGCAGGATCAGCAGGCATTGACTTTAATCAAGTTGAGGCCTGGTTAACAGTGGAAATCTGCCTCAGTGAGGCGCTTATTCCAGCAAGGACGAAAGCGTCGGCGGTGGCGGATGTGGCCGCAGTGCTTGAGGCAGCCCGACCTGATGTAACGCCAAATACCGATTTACAAAAGGTTTGGGAGCACCTCACTAGTTGTTTGTTGGGGTACCCTGTACTTTTCACTTACACTATTGTCTTCTCATTGCAGCCAATCATCGCTTTCAAAAATTCCATACTCGAAATGGTTTCTGGGATATTTTCGCATGTTAGGTATGACCGTTTGCAGAATTTAAAAACTACTTTTCGCCAGACCACCTTTCGAAGATTATTCGACAGACCATAAACAGGATTGTAACATTCCGAGTTCAATTGAGTGGTAAGTGTGTATGTTTGAGAATGCAGTTTGTCGTCTATTGTAGGAATACCTACCTGGACTTCCAAAAGCATCTTCGATTTCCAATTGCAGCTTCAGTAGCAAAGGAATTCACTGATCTGACTGAAGCTAGCCTTCAGGAAGCCATTCAAGCAAGCACTTGCCCAATTTGGGTTTAAATAAACGTTCACTACGAAGTTTAGTTCCCTCAAATGAGTTTTTTTAAAAATTCTTCACAGAAATTTTTGAACGACCTGCAAGTTTACCTTCTGAAGGAGACTCGCAAAGCCTTGAGGCTGCTGGCAGGGCGGTGCCTTGAGACCGAGGATGCTCCTGCGGTGGGAGGCCTTAGTGAGGTCAATTTGCGCATTTTCGCGCAGGAGGCCGAATTTTTCGGCAATCTTTCCTGGGCAAACTACTACTTACAGGTAATTAGTAGTATTTGGCAATGTTAAGCTCTCTCCTCGACATCTTCGCGAATTTAGCATTCTTACGGCACAGTGGGCCATTATTGCAAAAAAAACAATTCTAGCTAAGTCATCAACTGCGCAGCACATAATCAAAAACTCGCGCCTTTGAAATAAGAATTCGAAAGCCTTGTCTTGCTGCCTTAGCCAATACGTAATTAACACGTCATCAGATTGAATGCGAATAACGTGAGTTGACATTGACTGGACAGTTGATGAAAATTAACCATTGCAAATCTCTGTTTAACAAACTGTACAGTTGCTGGTTATGCTGATCTCTTTTCAGCAACGCAGACTACAACAGTCTTCCAATTTGGTGTTGTGGTAATCTTTTTTTCCCTCCAAACACGAAAGGATGAAGAAAATTTTGTTAAAAATTGAATTACCTTTTTCCAGAACTTGATGGCCATCAACTCTGCATCACCTGAAAACTTACTCTTGATATCTTCGTTCTACGCACGACAGAACAAGCTCGAAGAGGCAGTACAGTGTCTACGACGATGCCTTTCCGTAGAACCTAACAATCTGCAGGCGTAGGTTGTGTTTTAAACATCGTCTGATTCATTTGGCGGATATTTGACTCTGTGATATGGCTTTTTATCTGTACTGAGACTAATTTTGCTTTGGATCGAGACAGCTGCTTACCTCGATTTTCGTGTTTCCAAGACTTACATTTACGACATTTTTTGTCTGACATGACATTCATTTTATGGTATACAACCAGCTAATGTAAAATAAATCCAAACGACTAAGTGTCTGCAAACAAAATGGTGCTTTCTCCTCATTCTGGCAACTTTTTTTGGCAATCTGCGAAATTGACAATTTTCCTGAAGTCTATTGACTGCAATTTCAGGCTTTTTTTTTCAAATCTTACAGTTTGGTAAATCTTGGAATTGTGCTTGCTGGATTGGTTGAATTGGATGCGGCGAAACGGATTTTGGAAGACGCGTCAGACATTCACAATTCTAGTGCTACTGTTTGGATCATCTTGGGTAAGGTGAACGTAGATTGTACGCGATGAGCCTAAAATTTACAGAATTAAAGCATGTAAAATGTGTAATTTCAGCGGTCTTCTACGAATTGATTGACGATAATTGGAACCGCAAACGTGCTCTCGACATGCTGAGTCGATTAAGGTCTTCCCACGGCACAAACCACTCGCCAGGTAAGCAGTGGTTTCAGCTAAATGAAATTATTTTAATTTTAAACACGATTTTGTGGCTCTCAGGAGACTGCGAATCGCAGAGCGAAATCGGACAGCCTGACCACCTGCCGAAATACGAGCACTGTACTGAATTGGTTGAGACCATTGACTGGTTGCTGGAGTTAAACGCTTTTTCAGTGAGTAAAGGCAGATTTTGTGGCGCTGTGTTCGACTTTTATTGCCTAATTTCAACGCTTTTCTCAGTTTGCTGACAGGGGACTCGCTAGGCTGTTGATACATTTGAAGGAATACCGATCAGTTTGTACGAATCCTGGCTCCGAAGACTGTGCGCCTGGTGACCTTCGACTGCCCAATCACGTTCCAAGGTCAAGTAGGTGCTACAGGAGTTACATGAACGACCTCGCCGCCTACCACCGACAAGCTGCACGTCTTCTTATGCGATGCGTCGCCGGACCCAAGCAGCATTGTAAGGCAGAACTCGAACTCAGGGCGTCAGTCGAGGCACAGCCAGAAAGTGCGGAGAGTTGGTGTTGGCTTGGGAGGCTGCGTTGCCTTCAGACGAACTGGACAGAAGCCATTAAGTGTTTTGAAACAGCACAGCAACTGCAGACCTGGCCAGTTAGACAGCATCGGCTGGTTCAAATGCAGCTGGCCCGTTGTTACCTGGATAGCGGCTTAGTAAGTGTTTGAGCTGGTGAGTGGATAGCAGTTAGTCGCCAGTTTGACTAATCAGCAATTGCTGCAGTTTCAGCAGTGTAAAATGCAGTTTCTCGACTGCTGCAGTCAGCAGGCGACTTCTGAGTCGTGGAAGGGAGTTGGATTGGCTTGTTACCGCGTACGTAACCTGTGTTTCCACACCGTTTCGCTGTTCGGGTGTTCCTTAGGTGGTGCCTCAATCAACTTCCTGTGAATCTGTTTCAGCTGAACGAGTTGGAAGAAGCTCAGGTGGCTTTTGAAGAATCAAATCGCTTGAATAACCGCGACGCGGAGGTGTGGGCCTACCTGGCTATTTTGTGTCTCAAGGCTAACAAACCAACTCATGCTGAAATGTGTCTTCATTACGTCAACTTGGTAAGTTTTGTGGTTCTATCAGTTTAAAAACATCATTAGTGCGCAACTTTATCGTCTAATCCAGCCGAAGTCAACATGCTGTGTCACTAGTAATTACCTGATTGAATTCGACAGAATTCGCACCAAGTTCTCACTAGTGGATAGGTCATTAATCAGCATTATTAATTTCAATTTTAATCTGATTTGATTTCAGTTCTGAAAATTTGATTAAATACAGGCACTGCAAGTCTATTTTAAGTATGTGTGTCCATCAAGGCAGCCAATTTTGTAGAATACATACAATCCAACATTCTGTGCCATAACCCTAACTCGTATCAGCCATTCCAGGTACAGCCGAATGCCAAAAATTGTAAAATTGTTGGGGAATCTTCATCCTTACGACGATATCATTCAGAATTCTCACAACTTCCTTCCTTTCATCATTACCCTCGTCTATGCACACCAACTTTTGTGTTCATATCGGCCGCCTTCTTCCTATTGGCCCGTTCACCTTTAAGTGTCCTAGTTCCCTATATCCGTACTCAAGGCCGTATCAATCGTATCTAGCTACAGCTAGACACCAGATATACGCCTGAATTTCCGTAAAGACGTGACTTCGTGTTTGGTGAGGACGAATTTTTAGAATTCTGACATGTCTGCATGAAATAAAATTAGTAGAACAGTGCCGTCATTTGGTATGTCTGCCTTCGATTCATTATTGATTTCCAACCAGTTGAATCAATAAAATTGCCATTTTAATTAGTGTGGAATGTGCTGTGTGTGCGTGTTCTGGTGTAACGCGCCTACCGAACGGGGACCTAAATAGGGAGATGACTGTTAGCCCGTCCCTCTTAGATAGCCACACCGTCATGGTTAACTACCAGGCACACGATTGAAGAATAGCTGGAAGAACCGGATGGATTCCATACTACCGCATACAAACTCAGAGGGCTAGAGCTTAGGGAGAGTTAGAGTGGGGGAAGGGGATGGCCGTGAGGAGGGTCGGCGTTGCCCTCGGACTCACGGGCGTGCCTTGAGGGAGGCGAGAGTTTGGGAGGGGAGGGGAGGACAAAGAACAGGCCAGACCGGCGTGCGTGGGTCGAATGGCGCGCGTCACACTGGATGATGTGGAATTTACCGCTCGCTTCAGGTGTCGCAAACATTAAAACAAATGCTCCACTCTCGTTTTTATCCAAATGGTTATTTTATATTCCCATTGATCACTGGCCTTCCTTACTCTAGTAACAATTAAATTTGTCCAATTTCACAATTTATCCAATTAATTGACTGTGTTTAATGCATCAGTTGTCCTAGACTCATTCAAACAATTCAAGTATAAGTTATGTTGTCGCTGATTGCTAGTTTTAAATGGAAAAGCTTGAGTGAGTTTGCTATCAGATTTACTGACTATTCGACAAGTGGGAAATTTGTCTACTTTTAGTGTGATCCAGTCAAAGTGTGCGTCAAATTATAAACGAAATATTTTCAATGTTTTCACAGAAAAGTCACTGATAGTCTAGTTTTTCTGCACAGGGCGTGAATTCAAAATTGAGTCGAAGATAAAAATTCCCACAAGAGTACAATAATTGATGCAAAAATTGGTCTTAATGTGTTTTTGTCTTTTTCTTTAACTTCCCAACTTCCTTTTTACCATAAAATGTTATGAAATGGACACCCACTGGTCTTCTGGCCTCGATAACTCCAGAGATCAGTTATTGGGTTTCCTCAAACCACTTTTCTTGAATGGTTTTATTAATGGCATTTTTTAATGCGAGACCTGTATTCCTCTGTTTTAGCTGGGTCTTACAAATGAATCTATACGAGCTGAGCTACAGAGAGTCAAAGCTGACGTCTCAACTGCACTGGATGACGAATCATGTTAATAACAATAATTACTATTATTCACTAGACATGCTTGAGACTCATTTGGAATAAAACGCCTAAAGAATAGACAATTTCACATATTAATGCAATTATACAACAAAATGGCTTTGTGCATTGGATTGGCTTTTGAAATTTCGACATCAGGACATAGGGTTCGTTTGTAAGAACCTTCAGAGAATGTTGATGGACCTGTTCTTCCGCCCAGGACAGAAACAGCAGTCAAATATTTATGGATGCATTTATTTATCAAGTTTCTGCGCCCTCAAACATTGACCACTTGGCAGCTAAACATCGCGAATTTAGTTGATCTCAGTTGATATGATAATATTGCGTAATTGCCGCTTTTGGAGTCGTTTTTAAACCCAGAAAACTTTTGTTCCAGGGGGTTATGTAGAGGTCAAGCTTCTTCAAGAAACCAAATCCCTAACCAGGAATACATTTCCTTCGTGGCTTACTCGGTCGTAATGATATCTGGCAATTCGCATGACTGCACACGTGTACAATTATGCTAATATGACAAATTATGTTGTGGGATTTTGCTATAGCGACGGTCTTGACAATCATCAATTCTGAATTCGCTCATTAGGGTAACGTATTGTTAGGTGTTTAGGGCGCCACATCATGGCCGGCGATGTACACTGACACGGCCCAGCCGAAAGAAGAGCGTAAAATGCAGATGGCGCGCGGCTCAACTTATTTATTAATGCATTAGCGGCATGTGTTCGTACAGGATAGCAAATGCGTTTATGTAGTTTCGCCAAGTATCGATCTCTGAACGAATGGAGTTTCGTGATGTGCATTCACGAAAAATCGATTGAACAGTCTTCGCTCACGATTGCTACATGTGCTCGCTCGCTGATCACCACAACCGCAATTTTTTATTGGATTACATGTTAGCAATCAAACTCGAAGAAGGCTAAAACGCCGCCTACTAATGCGATTCAGAAATGCGAGAAAGTTTGCATTGTCATTTCATTGTAATAGCAGGTCATGACGCCAGGTACACTTTTTCCTCTTCATTCACAAGAATAATCTGGAGGACGTATCGAAGGAGCACTTTATTTAAACAGAATTTTTGTTTTGCTTTTATTTTACAACATTCCAATTATTTATAAAACTAGAAGAATCTCCTTTGGCTCCTGCCTGGCCAACCTAGGAGCGGAAGCGAATTACGAATTTTTGCCCTTTTCCCTCTGTTTCTAACGCAATAGGCACCATTGTACAAAGCCCGTCTGACAAAGTGCCCAGAAGACCATTCGTCCTATACACCTGCATCTGCCTCTAATCTACACACCACAACTGAAACTCCACTAACAACAACTACTACTAAAGCGACAACAACATCAGCAACTGGTACTACTGCTACCGCTAGTACCACACGTATCAAAGACCTCCAAAGGAGGGACTGTTTAGTGAGCCCCGGTGCGGTTTTGGGAACCACAACAGGCCGGCGATTTACACAGACGCGGCCCCCACCAAAAGAAGGGTCGGGAAATGCTGACGGCGCGTAGCTTAACCAATGAATAAATGCGGTGGCAGCAGCAGTGTGTGTGTGTACAGGATAACGAGTGCACGCTAAACATCGATCTCTGCACGCACGTTGTTGCGTAAAGTGCATGCACGGAAAAATCGATTAAATAGTGTTCGCTGGCTGCGTTTGCTCACGACAGCCCGCATGCTCCTCGTTACAACTGCAACAGCAACAATCTCAGTTGGTGTCCCTCAAAAGGACCATGTCTGCCTTCACTGCTTTGCTACTAGACGATGACATTGATCATGAAGCAGATCGGGCCAACTCCTTGTGTCTCCTCTACTGCGAGCATGTCGGCATTTCAGCCAATTGTCGCCCTCCACCACAAGCGCAACAACAAGAAAGACGAGAAGAATGCGGAGACGGCTACAGAGCACTGGACCCAACACAGATTGTGGACTTGCTTTCTCGTGAATCCAGACTTGTCACGAGTACTGCACTGCCCTTGTGCTCGCTCCGTGCACTTTCCCACCGCTCCTAACTGTGTCTTCTTTTTCTTCCTCGTTGTTGTCATCGCCGTCATCGTTGCATAGTCGAGAACACCCAACCTCTCAGACATCTATGTTACATGAGTTCATGCACACCTGCCATCCCTCCACCACCTCCCATTTCCTTTTACCCGCCTCATCCTACTAACTGGTGAAACACCAACGCCATCACCACACCAGGAAAGAGACACACCAGTGTGACAAAACACCCACTGGCAAATGCAACAATCAAGTTTTTGTGACCCTAAAGAGGGCCGTCGTCACATTCACTGTTGTTGATGATGATGATGGAGGTGGTGGTGATTGGGGATAGGCGAAGGTCTGGGGCTGAGCAGCACGTTAAGCCTTGAGCTTCTCCATCTTCTTGGGCAGAAAAACAGTCTGAATGTTAGGCAGAACGCCACCTTGTGCGATGGTCACACCGCCCAATAACTTGTTCAACTCCTCATCGTTGCGGATGGAGAGCTGAAGGTGGCGTGGGATGATGCGGCTCTTCTTGTTGTCCCGAGCAGCGTTGCCTGCCAACTCGAGCACCTCAGCGGCGAGGTACTCGAGCACAGCAGCCAAGTAGACTGGAGCACAAGCACCAACGCGTTCTACGTAGTTACTACGGCGTAGCAGTCGTGTGCGCGACCAACTGGGAAATTTAGACCAGCTCGAGCCAACCTCGTCTTTGCCTTAGCACGTGACTTGCCCCTTTTGCCTCTTCCATTCAATGTGTTGTTTTTGCCTGCACAGCTAGTGAACAGTGATTCTTTGGGACAAGCCACCCGTGCCACCTCTTAAAGGCTTCTAGTGCGGTGTGGTGTGGTGTGGCGTCGGATTAGGGCGCAGACATATTGGACCACCTGGCCTCAGCCAATCCTGTGTCTCTCTGCAATCCAATGGCATGCGGCAAAGGAAGGCAGCCAACCAGAGAAGGACATGGATGAGATGCAGTATATAATGAGCGGCGTGGC